TCAATTTTTATATTTTTGAAAGTTGAAAACTGTTTGATCACAAATAAACTAAAAGCTAAATTTTGAAAACTCAAAAATAAATTTCACTTTTTATTTTTCGGTTTTCAAAAAACGTGTGAACTTAAAAATAAAACAAAATTGTCACTTAGTCAGTGGTGTAGTGATATTCTTCTTCATTTGTAAGTAAGAAATCTTATGTTGAATTCTCGTCAAAAACAAATTGTTAACCTATTATGAGGTTTAACCTACCCTCTTACCCTTTTAGTGTAGTTAATATCGTTTGTTAAAAAAAAAATTGTTATTCCGCTTAATAATTATCTTAATCCAATTAGGTTTAAATATTTATTTCTGACATTTTTTTTACAGGAAACTAATGAAAATGACTTGAAATCTTTGAGTTTTAACGATAAAGATAAAATAAAGAGTAAATTAAATAGTACTAGGATTGACATTTTAATGTAAAAATATGATATTTGGTTAAAATGACATTTTCGTTAAATTTTTTTATTTTTTTATTAACGTTCGAGAACCGCCTTGCGTAAATAATATTTTCCCGCCAAACCCGTGATTTGGTCCTTGTGTCGACCATCCGCCATTTTGCTAAACAATCGAAATAATTGTATTTTACTCGCCTGCTAATGCGAATATCAGCCGTACCTACTTCCAATCAAATCCCACTAATCACCTGATTTCCCCAAATCTACCGTACAAAAATTATAACAAATGAAGAGCGTGGCGCTACCCCACTGGAAGCGCGCGTGTGTCTGCAAGGAAGACAGGAATAAAAAAAGAACCACAAAGTCAGACACTGGTGCGGGCCCCACCATCTCGCAGACCGCGTGAAAGTGGCTCCCACGGCGGCACAGCCCTTCCCTTACCATTTTGATCCCACGATCAATCAGAACGCGCGAAATGCAAGAGTTTCGGTCTTTTGACATTCCGAAAGGCTGACTTTTGAATCTTCTTTCTCTTTCCATATATATATATATATATATATATATATTTTTTTTTTAATCTGAACTATTTTGGTGGCTTGAACACTTCAGATTTGAAATCTTCCATATGAATCCATCATGGTGTTTGCTTTTTCTTGATTGACATCATGGCAATAGCTTAATTCCCCTTCTTCTAGTAGGGCCGTGGTTTTTTTCTTTTCTTTTCTTTTCAGGAATCAAGTATAAAATACGATTGGACATTGATCTATTATTGTCTGAATAATAAAATACTTATTACGTGACATGAGTGTGAAGAATATAAACCCTGAAACCAAAGATAAGAGGGTAAAGTTACGTGCAAGAACGAAAACAGCTAAGGTCCACTCGTGGCAGCTGCCCTTAGTGAAGTTTCGAGTGGGAAAAAAATATCAAGATGCTTACATAATTTTAATTTAACATATTTAAGTACTGAAATTTTTAAATAATATGTGTAATAAGCTATCATTATGAAACATGCTTACACGTTAGCTTAATGAAATTTGAGAAGAAAAAAAAACAATTAAATTATAAAAGAAATTCTACTATCATGAATTTTATCCACTTTAATGCTTTTGGAACCTAAAAGAATATATTTTTTTCTTTCTAAAAACACTTTTAATATTTTAAAAACAATTTCAAATGAGCCCATATATGTTTTTAATCTTTTAATTGCTTGTATTTTTTGGACTTGGTAAAACTTTTCCCTAGTTTGTATTAACAATTGAGGTGTAATATTGGAATTTCAAATATTTGGAATTCTAAAAGTCATAAATGGATAAGGTTTCAGTCCTTGGAATTTTGCCAGCACATCACCTAATAAAAATATTTACATGATGAAACAATTCTGGGCCGTTGACTGATTGGTAAGAAACAAGTTGAAGAGCGGTTAGAATTGGGCCTAATTTTTCAGCTGTTGGGGCCTCTTCCATTTTGAAGTTCTAATATTCTCTCAATTCAATAGAAACAAAGAGAAAATGGCATAAAAGGACCACTTATCCATGCCTAATACAAATGCTTGGATGTTAAACATGACAATGAAGTTGGTTTACCATCGATAATATAAAAAATATGAGGTGTCGATATCTTGTGTCTAAGACAGGAGAAAAATTTGCATGTACTCGTGGTCACAACGTCTGTGTTTCACATTTATAATGTCATATCACCGTAACACTCAACTATATATAAAATAGATTATAATATTCAACGAGTGCATATAAATTTTTAGCGCGGGAGGCTAGCTGAGCCCCACATGCCTATTGAGCCACTACAATTAAACTATGCCCAATCTTAGTTTTGCAAAGTAGTCATCCTACTTTTTCTGAAGCATGCTCCTGCAATATAGGGTTTAGGGACTTGGCGGAACGAAAATGTTGTTTCTTTTGTCACCGAAATGTCACGATTTCGAGTCATGAAAACAATTTCTTCGCCAAGTAAGGGTAAGACTGTGTACGATAGATGTTTCTCCCAATCCTCGCAAAAGGAAGAGTCTTGTTAGCTTGAGGTCGCTCTTTAAGCTCTTGTAGTATACATTTTATTTGGAAATGCTATCAGTAATGAACGACCTAATTTTTGTATTGCGAGTTATTGTACTTTTTGGAATAGGGTACTGAGTCCATCATCACATCCTTGCTTTCTATCGAGCCACACAATTCTAACATAAACGACATTTACTAGTGCTTGTATTTGGAAGAGGATCCTCTCCTGAGCTTAGGATAGGGATCCTCCTAATCACGAAATCCAGACCGTTTAAATTTAATCCAATGGTTGTAATTATTATAACTTTTAGAGAACCCTTATTTGGAGCTATTGGATTAAATTTGAACGGCCCGGATTTCGTGGTCATGAGGATCCTCATCTTGATCTCATGAGAGGATCCTCTTCCCTTGTAATTTTGACACGCAATATATGAGGTCGATTATGATCGGTAGGTATCACGTATTCTAACAGTTGAACATGAAAACAAAAGAAAAAATTGCAGGCTAAAAACTGTTTGAAATGTGCTGGTAATGTTGCCTTATTTACCAATAAAAAGAGATAAATAACATTTGTTACGAATTTATAAGAAGATTATTAAGAAAAATGGAAACCTAATTAAACTCTGTTATAAGCAACGGACTTGCTGAACAGATTGCGGATGTAGAGCACTTGAAGAGCGCTTGCACCGGCAAATACAAGGTACTCTGCAAGTGTGAAGTAGATCACTCGTTTGTTCGTGCTAACATTTGCTGCAACCATACAAAAATGTTGTTAGACGATAACACAATCAATTGGAAACGTACGAGACATACGGAAAAAGTTGAGATTACACCATTCAACTAATTGGCAATATGAGAAATAACCTAACTTATAACTTACAAGCACATGCAAAGTCTATTCGTTCCTGGATGCTGGATTCATAATCAACACTTACTATATCTATGCCTGGCATCGCGCGCTTTAAGGAACTTTTGCTCCGTTGTGATAGCCTCCAATGCTTCTCTCAGCTCGGCAATTTTAATATTCAGAGGGTCCATATGTTCTGCACCAAAATTACAATAAATGAAAATGACCTTGTTTTTTTCTAGACGTTTTAGTCAAAATGGTATCTAAGATTGGTATAATTCATCACTTTGATATTTGAGTTTGAAATCGATAGAAGTGGTCATTGAGTTTGTCCGCCATTAATCATTTCGGTCATTATGTGAAGAATTTTGTTAAATAAGAATAAAAATGACAAAAATATCCTCAATTCAATAAACAATAGGCCAAAATGATTTGACAAAATTGAGAGTATTTTTGTCATTTTATGTTTATTTAATGGAGATTTTTTATGGAATAACTAAAATGATTGATGATGGACTCAAGACCACTTCTAACGATTTCAAATCTTAGAGACAAAAGTAAGGAGTTATGTCAATCTTATGAATCATTTTGACTAAAAGCATTTTTTCCCCGTTACATATGTGGTAAAATAAAAGCTGAAAACAACTGAGTAACGATCAATCGGAGTTGAATGTGACCCATTTTATCATCATGAATAATCCGACGCAAACAATCAAAGGGATCCTCTCAAAATTTCAAACTCGAAAGACTCTCCTACCGTACATATTTCACTACCACGAAGCAAAAAATACATTGAACTAACCGTCTTTAGCCAATTCATGCTCATTTGGGATGTGGCCAACATGGATGTAGAACGAAACAGTCTCAGGAGTCGAAGCAGGATTTCGAAAACAGAACTTGTAGATTCCGCTTTTTGGTGCCTTGAACTTGAACTTATCTCCCGACGTTCCTTTCAGAGAAGACACAATGCTACCTCCTGGAGCTGTAGCCTGCACAGACCACACATAAGTTGTATTGCACCTCCCATTTGAATGGAAATGTAACAATCTTCTACGAATTATTTGACAAATTTCGTTGTTCGTAAATTAGGACTCTACATTTTGAAACAATGTCACCTACGTAATGATTTTGATTTACACCGTCTGACAGCGTAACATGCTCAGTTATTTGACGTGAAAGTTTTGTATTAGGAGCTTACAGTGAAATCGATGCCAGGGTGGTCGGAGCTCCAGAAGATGTCATGGTCTATGGCAACAAAGTTTCCGGAGACGGTGTCTCCCTCGTGCAGAACCTGCTCTGATACGCATTCAAACTCCGTCACGGTGATTGAAAGAGCAGTAGCAACACTGCCATTGCCGATGAGGCTCAGAAGAAAACCGTACGCCACGTAAATCTTGGCGGTCTCGAATCTCTTTCTTTTCTCCATTTTTTTAAATCTTTGCTCTGGAATTCAATCAGCCACAGAACTGAATCGATCGATCGAGAGAGAGAGTGTTCCTGAAGAAAATAGGGCGGCTTGAAATTCGGTTAATTCGTTGAGAAATCCGTTTGTTGCCTCCATGACTGTTTTCTTCATGATTGGGCTTTCTTTTGGGCCTAGCTTCTTTAAATGGTTGGGCTTCTACGCAATTTGTGCAATTTGATACCAAATTAACTTGCACATGCAGCTTAACCGAACTCCTCTTTCCGTTTCCTGATCTCTGTAAAAATATCGATATACCTCCCAAAAAAAAAAAAAAAACTTTCTCTCACTCTCAGTTCACCAAGCTCAGTGAGTCGGAAAGCGAATCAGTGCAGTAATGGAGTCGTCTCTGCGAGTTCGAAGATTGAACGAAGTTCCTTCGGCCACAGACTTCGCGTCTCGGATCGAATCCGAGAACGTTCCCGCCGTAAATTCCTTACTGTTTCACATAATTAACTGCAATTTTCTTCGCGCCTTTCTAAAATTCACGAGCATTTGCTCACTCTCTTTCTCTCTGCGTGTTCTTGCTTTCTTCTTCTTATTAGGTTTTCAGCGGCTGCGTCAAAGATTGGAAAGCTTTCTCCAATTGGAATCCATGTAATGGCGGTCTCGATTATTTGCAGGTATTTTCCCTTTTTTTTACTTGAATTTTTGTTCTCGTCGATTCTGCTTCCTTCTGTGTGGTGATTGGTTGTAAATTTGAGGAAATTAGGGATTATGTGGTCAAAATTGCTTTGCTTTCTTTCGAGTACTTAAAATTTTACCACAGCAGCAACGAAATGTGATCAGGATCAACCTCAAATGGTTGCTTAATGATGTTCTTGTGCTTAACGTATTCGAATTCTGTTTCTAATTCCGAGCCTTGGGTGAGCTAATCCGTTCCTACTACTGAATTAGGCCTCAGGGAGCTGTCCATGTAGTTTTTCAGGGATTAACAAGTAGTTTTTTGTTTCATTTTTAAGTTATTTGTTTGTTGCTTATATCGTTGATTTCTTTGCTTTTGTTAAATTGAAGTTTGTGATTGATATGGTTTCTATGAATGGAAAATTAGGAACGAGTCGGATTGTGTGTTGTGGAAGCTATGCTATCTGATTCAGCACCTGTATTCAATGGTGATATTAGAAGCCATGAGAGGGTAAGTAATTTGTATGTCTCTTGTGAATGGTCTGAAACTTTGAATTTTACTTTCTTCTGGATCTCATTAGCCCTAACTAGTTTACTACCCCTTCCATCTGTAGGTACCGCTGCAATTTTCTGCATTCATTGGTCTATGTAAGAAACACATGCATCATTCGGAGGATGGTTCCGGTGCTGAATCAGATCGGCAAGGGCTACTGGAGTCTTCATCTGAGTATGACAGTAAGCCCTATGAGGATGCTCCTCAACAAATCTATTTAGCACAGGTTTAACCTTCAAAGGGTTTGTTAATGGCTTGATTAGTCATTATTCAAATAACTTTCTTTAATATGTTAGACTTATTAGTTTTCTTTGAAGGGTCACATATTTGGGACATAACTCTTATTATGTGTGATTCAGATCCCAATAATCAATACTGAAACTGAAGAGAGGGTTCAACTAGGATCTTTGAGGGAGGATATCCAAACGGTTTGTGAGCTTCTTGTACTAGTCCTTGTTGTTTATCCTACAGCCTTCCACTAGTGAATCCTTTATTCTCATCCTTGATTTCTAATGACCACTGGTTGTTTTTTGTAGCCTGTATTTTTGGAGGACAAAGTACTAGTTTCTATCAACTTGTGGATGAACAATGCTCAAGCTAGATCAAGTACTCACTATGATCCACACCATAACCTTCTCTGCGTAGTCTCTGGCCGCAAACAAGGTCGAATTTTCTCTGGCTCTCTTAGTGCATAATGCTCTGTCCAACTTCAGAGTGGTTAGATAGGTTTCATGTTACCGGTTCTCTATATCATTGAATGATTAGCTGCCAAGAAAGCAAATTGATTTTCTCTCTTATTGTTTATTTGCATCCCTCCAAAAGAGATTTTTTTAGTTTTATTCTTAGAAGGCCACAAATTTAAGGGTCATTTGATTTCTAGAACAAGTTGGTTTGAGATTTGAATATAGAACTTAACTTTGTTCAGTATTCCCAACTGTGTTAGTGTGTAAAATTTGTCTAAATAGATTTTTTGTTTCTGGATTTTTCTAATAAAAGCTTGCATGTTTCACAGTGGTTTTATGGCCTCCTTCAGCAAGTCCTATGTTATACCCTATGCCAATATATGGGGAGGCATCAAATCACAGGTATAGTACCTGTAATAATAATATGAATTCAGATTAGATATCTTTGTACTTATTTAATTATGAAAAGTTTATGCTTCTGTTAGTTATTTGTATCTATTGTTCTATCAACAAAGAGAACGAATTGCAGTCTTTCAATCTTATAATTTACGCCCTCTTGCAGTTCTGTTCCTTTAGAGAACCCAAACTTTTCAAATTATCCAAGAGCACAATGTTTAATGCAGCACTCGCAGAAGCTTATTCTTCAGCCAGGTGACGCCCTTTTCATTCCTGAAGGCTGGTAAGGTTTAATATCCATTAGTGTGTCCATTAGGAGTCCTTTTTTTTTGTCTTCTTATAATATAAGACTTTAGAGGTCGCACTTGGTGCGATGGCAAGTGCCTTCGCCCATGAGCGGTAGGTCTCGGGTTCGAGACTTGGGAGCAGCCTCTCCATAAATGGGGGTAAGGCTAGCCGACATTCACCTCTCCCAGACCCTGCGTAAAGCGGGAGCCTTGTGCACTGGGTACGACCTTTATAATATAAGACTTTAGTGTGACCTTTTTATTCATAGTGGTTATTTATTTTTGCTACAGGTTCCACCAGGTGGATAGTGATGATCTGACCATTGCTGTGAACTTTTGGTGGCGGTCCAATGTAGCGTTAAACATGTCAGAACACATGGATGCATATTATCTGCGCATAATATTAAGAAGGTTTGTGGTATTGTTTCCTTTTAGTTAGTATGCAAAGCATTAACGGAACAAGCTAACGTTATTTTGTTTCTCTCTCATGCGTCATTTACTTGTCCAATCCGCATCAAAAGACTGACAGATAGAGAAATGGTGTGTACCTCTCTCTCTCTCTCGCACGCGCACACACACACACACACACACACACACACACACACACACACACACACACACACACACACAAACACATTGGTAGACATTCTTATTTGTGCGTTTATTTTCAAAATAACAAGTTTTAAGTTACAGTATGGAAACATATAAGTAAACATATGGTTCGATATTGGTATATGCTTTATCATTTTATTTTTGTCGTATTTGAAAACTTTGTGGTCACATCGACTACGTTTTCTTCCGCCTTTGTTTTTAACTTTGAATCAGAAGTTTTGTAATTGAGCACTATAAGTATATTTATTTCATTATTTTTTATTTTAGACAGGACCGAGTGCTGCCTGTACCTCTCTCTCTCCCTCACACAAACACACACATTGGTGGACATTCTTATTTGTGCGTTTATTTTCAAAATAACAAGTTTTAAGTTACAATATGAAACATATAAGTTACAATCAGAAGTTTTTGTAATTGAACACTATAAGTATATTTATTTTATTATTTTTTATTTTAGGACAGGACCGAGTGCTGCCCGTACCTTCTTTATCTGAAATGGAGAACATGAAGAGGCATACTGGTATAGTGCTTAAAAAAGGACAAGTAGGTCAGTTTGTAACTTTCTATGAGCTCACTGATTATCATTATGTACTAAAGATTATTTGGTAAAAAAAAACTTGTAGTGAATCATTATGGCTCTGTAAATCCTCTGTTTGCTGACATCCCTAACTTGATATTACACCCAGATCACAATGACAATGCTTTGGATCAGGCATGTGAGAGAAAGGATCTTAAAGGGAAGGAAGTAGAACAAAGATTTATGTCACATGTACTGGAGCCCCTTGCCGTCCCTGCTCTTCATGAACTTATTTCTTTAGTTCATGGTCATGTTAATGCTGCTGAGCAAAGACAACCAGTGCAATCCGCTTCAACAACTGCTTCTGCAGCTAATGTGAAAGATGAATGCATCAAAGTCGTGAGACAGAGTTCGTTTAGCTTGGAAGATGATCCAGTTGCTAAAATCTTTTGGACTCTTCACCCCATCACTTTGAAAAATGTATTTCTTGCCATGGTGGTGAGTTTGAACATTTTTACTTTCACTGTAAAACTTAAACTTGTAGACTAATAGGCTAGTCGACTCTCGTTTCATGAGAGTTGTTCGTTATTATCAAGAGAAAGTGATAAGGCAAGGTCTTTCTATTAATGTTTGGCGTGTCTTGCATGCCAAACAGTAACAGCTTAATTAGCAAGCAGGTCATCTTACTTGGATAGGAGAAAGTTGTCATCTAGAGGAGCTTCATTTCTTTTAGATTCAAAGGCCGTCTTTATTCCCTATTTTTGCCTACTATTCTGGTTTCGTGTGCTTTATAACTATGTTTCTACGCTTTTACCAGTGAATATTGTCCCATCTAATGGAAAAGTGAGCCATGATAGTTTATCCTTTCATTAAATCCAGTAATGTTTGAAGGCTTGACTCTTGTTTCTGTATTTCTTTACGAGAATGCAGCTGGGCAGGACACTCCCCTCTTCCTTTTTTTCTTTTAACCTTCATATGCTCTATGATTTTTAGTGAGTCTTATAAGCATACCATTTAGTAATGCCATCATGGCAAGGTGGTGAGGGGAGCCACTATAGGATAACTATATATTTGTAACTCGAATGACCATCCACTGCTATTTTGTTTAATAAAAATAAATTTCTCATTCTTATATGCAACTTTTATATAATCTTTTGCAGAAAAATTTTCCAAGAACTTTGGAGGCTTTAATACTGCACTTGCTTTCACCAGTGGGAGCAGAAGTGCTTACCCGCAAATTTGAAGGAATGGATCAACTGATCACCGAGGAAGAACGGTAAATGCTAATTTGTCATTAATTCTTTAGTGAAAAAGGTAAAGATCTGTATTCACCTACAATCTGCTATTCTTATTCGTCATTTCAGGAACAATTTCTACAAGGCTTTCTATGGGGCATTTGACGACCAATTCGCAGCAATGGATGCAATTTTGAATGGGAAAGAAGTATTTGCACAACAGGTAATGCTGTGCTCTTGTTGAAACATGTCTTCTGGCACTCATGATACCATAAATTGGGTAGGGATTGATTCCGGAAATAAGATGTTCACTGGCTCATCTACCAGATGATGATCATCTCTTTGTTATGAACTACTATGATAAAATGATTAACCAGGAATCTAGTTTGTTGTTATACAAATTTGTAATTGGTCGAAATCAGTTAGTATCGATGTCATGGACTGCTATAGTCAATTGACGTGCTCCCATTTGATATTGTTATCATTTTAAATATCTTAAATTATCAAAATTTGAAGTACGATTTTGTTGCCTATCATTGTCCCGGGCGTAGAAGGCCACTTGACTACAGCAGGGCAGTGAACAAGGATCATAAGTTATGAATTCATCTTTTGCTTTTGTTTTTGTTGTGAACAATGTCATAAGTTATGAACAAGGATCATAAGGCCTTCATATTTCTATTTTACATTTTTTACTGTAATTTTTTGGGTGAGCAATGAACCGTATTCCGTTAATTTATTCTACTCATGAATTTTCTGATCCTTGACAACCCGTATTTCCCCCAATTTAACACTCTTCGTAGACTTTTTGTTGTCTTTACATTTTGGCCTAACATCATCTCAATGACGATGTTTGTGCATTTGCATATACGTCCCTTCATATTTTACTGGAGACGTTAGATTTGTATGTACGGTATAAAATGTTACTAGCTGCTCAAGAACAAAGTAACGCACTTTTACCGTATTCTTTGTTGCAGGCATACAAGAACGTATTGGATAAGTATTTGGGAGTAGACTGGAGTGGGCCGAAACCCGGGGTCTGATGAAACTTCAAAGAAATTGGTCCCCGGCAGTATCTTGAGGGGAGGAAATCGATGCATATTCATTTACCGAAACCTTTCTTTTTGCTTGAATTCTCAACCGTGCTTTACAAGTGTTCATTTACAGGCACCTAGAATTCATGTCATCACTAACTTTAAGCATATGAGTGTATGATTGGTTGTGCATTCTTTCTATGTAGTTATATGCTCTGCAACTTTTACTTGGTCTGATATGTTCTGTGTTTTATAACAGCTTTTGAGATAATATGTTTTGTTACCTCATTCCAAATACGACGTCGTCTACCAAGACAAAATAGCTTTTTTTTTTCTTTTTCATTTTGGTCAAAGCAAGACAAAATAGCTCAAATTGGAAAAATTATTGCGTGGTACCGAAAATCGCAACTTGATATAATATCGGTGGATGATGAATTTTGTATTAACTATTAAGGGTGTAATCTTCATAAATATCCACTTGTCTTGTAACATGTGGATTGATTTATATATAGAGACAATATAATTTTTTTTTTTAACAAAAAGATGACTAGCTGATGGCTTTGTTATGGCAGTTAATCTTTTTAAGGGTCAGAAAGACTCACAGATGCATTTCAACCTCTTCTGGTCACTATTGTGTAATTTACCAATGCTAGAAACGAACTTATGACATGCTGTGTGAACATAGTGACAATATTTAGTACTACACAATAATTTCTCGTAAAATTGTTAATGAAAAGAAATATCGTCTTTCTTCTTAGTTTGATTTGAGAACTTTGTGTTTTGTTTGTCATTTGAATTGATGGTAGAGGGTCAATCAAAGTAGTCTTACTTGCAAATGAAAAAAAAAACCTACTAGTTAAGGACTACAAGCGTGCTGAAAACATGAACAAACGGGTCATCTAATCTCTAAAGTGCAGAGAAGCAAATATTTAGAGGCTAGATAACCAAAATTCAAGGGAACGTTTGTCTTCGGCAATCCAATTTACCAAGTGGTTTGATTTTTAAAACAATTTTTACTGTTTGATTTCTTAAATTCACTTTTTATCGTTATTTTCAGATTACTCAGTAATTCTAAACTATTAAAATAGTCTTAAAAATACCAATTTTTCTTGATAAAATCCCTCAACTTACCTGAATTCTCTTATTCAGATAAGATTCATTTGGCAGGGGAATCTAACTCCACTTGTAAAGCATTTAAGTACCAGCGCTTGATGCCACATTGCCACTAGTAATAATTCTAATCGCTTTAAGCCGGTGATCTCGTGGACAACTATATAATAGCGAGTTCAAATCTAATATGATTGGCTTGGCTTGATTCTCATCCATGACGTACTATAAATTTATCAGTTTTAGCAATTAGAATTTGAAAAACAGTAATTTAAAAAAAAATGAAAAGTACCGATGTGTGATTTCTAGCTATCATTCCTCTTTTGGACGAGTAAGACTTCCTTGAAATGGGAATGCACTAATTCTCTTCATTTTTTCACACATCATGTATTTACTCATTCTCTTCCCTTCTAACCTTTTGTATGAATAACGTGATTTATGAAAAATGAAGATAATGAACATATCCCGTTTCAAAGAAGAATAGTTCTTATTCTCTAGATTCTTGCACACACACACAAAATGGAAGTTAAAGATAAGAGAAGTCATGGAAATTATGCCAGTCTTAATTTCATTTGTGTATAAATTTGCAGAACAAGGGGGAAAAGAATAGAAAAGCATGGAAAAGGGGTTTTGGTAATTATTGGGGTTGGAAGGACAAATTAAAAGAGGGAAAAGGAGGGGTTTTTGTTGAGGTGAGATTCCATGGTGGAATATGATGACATGCAAGGGTGCTGAGAAAGGGAGGGAATAGAAGAGAAGAGAGAAGCTTTTAGTTTGTCTGGTTATGGGAGCAGAGGGAGAGATAAAAAGATGCAGTCCCTTTCACAAGGCAAATGGCATATTTTGTACCTTAACCCTGCAACTTATATAAAACTTTCTAAAAGCTTGGATATACCATAACCACCCAAACCTTCCTTTCATTAATACCTAGGTCTCTCTCTCTCTGGATGGATATACCTTACTTTCATTAATCCCTAGGTTTCTCACTCTTGATGGATATACTGAGTTGTAACAAGGATTCATTCCTTTGATTTAGTAGAAAAAGTTTGAAAGAATTTTATTTTAGAGACGATAAGTGACTCATTATTAATCACATGATAAAGTTTTAGAGATGGTTGAGTGACCTACTACTAATCATACTGATATTGTTTCTAATTTAGTCACTCAAATTCAATAGTTGTGGGGTTTTATATGAAAGATTTTAGTACAATTAGTAACGACATCGTTCAACTTTTGACACACATTTTGACACACATTTTTGTAAGACTTACTCTATAATGTATCTCAATTATCTAACCGTATATAGACATAATGAAACTCTAATTATCGGATCATCGTAGGGCATTTGAACTTGATCGAACAATGCCCTAACCCGATGTGATAATTTGGTCTTTATTCAAGATGGTCATCAATTAAAGAAAATCACTCAATTAGCTAGTGACACCTTTTTGGGATTAATTCAAACCTTAACATTCAAAACCCAAAACCCTATAATTCATGTACGAAAAACACGACTGCAATTATATATGGTAGGAACAATGGTCAAGATGTGATGTAATTAAACATCCTGGTCCATGAACAAAAAACATGACTGCAATTATATATGGTAGGGTTTGTTGCAAGGTTGTGCTGCCAAACCAAAGGCTGTGGCGATGCTGCACAGAAATTAATAAAGAGCAAGTCCGTCAACCAAAAAACGAAGACTCAGAATTATTTTTCAAAGTTGTATCCAGAGAGAGAGAGAGAGAGAGAGAGAGAGAGAGAGAGAGAGACATCTTTTTCATAACCGTTGACATTTTAAAGACTTTCATTTTCTTTTGTTCATCTGCTCCTAATTCTCTTTTTTTCTCTCTTTAGCTGGGTTTATAGTACCACTAGCCAGTATGCATGTCCCCGGACCACCATCACACCCAGCACGGATTCACACACCCCGTCACACCGAGCTTACCTTTCTCTACTCACGCTTACGCCAGGTTTTATAGTCTAGGGCTCACTTATCTCTCTTTAGAAAAGGCCATGTTTCTTTGAAATGCCCCAATTTTTCACTAACCCAGAACCCCAAAAAAAGTGTCCTAAAAAAGCTCTTCAAATTCTCCATTATGCTGTTTCACAGAGGAAAGAAAATCTCAATTATATATATAAACAAGCACTCCCATGTTTAATCATGTTTGTTGTTTTCGTTTGATTTATTCAAAATGATGACCAAATTAAAGCAAGGTATGTAAAAAGTAAAAAAAAAGAAAATTGAGTGAAAATTATCTTCCTGTATATGAATATATACTTAAATTCTCAAATTAGCATTGGTCCAAAATCTCCATACTCCATAAGAGAAATGCTAAGAAGACTCAAAGTGGGACTCTTCATAGACTCTCTATCATATTTTGGGTACAATATTTTATAAGGAAAACTAACGAAAAGTTCAAAAAACCTACCCTTTTAATGAAAAGTCATTTTTAAAGGTATTATGAATAGTACTAGGAAAATGTATAAATGTGGTTTTTTTCGTTAAAAGTGAACAGTACCGGGAGTGTTTTGTTAAAACTCTCTATTTTATGATGTTTATACCGAAATTGTGTTCAAAATATGAGATGACAGAAAATCCATATAAAGAGAGTTCTACTTTGTAAGAGAATCTTCTTAATAATCATGATAAGAATCATCACACAGATGGAATGGATACAATGATCTGACATCTTAAAATTATCTTCATGGAATATAATTTATTTGTTTAATTATTTTGAACACTTTCACTTGTTTATGCATTTTCGGAGAGATATTTCAATGTGTCATGACTCATGAGCTAAATTATTATACAAATAGAGGGAAGGCTTCTTTTTTTTTTTTTTTTAATTCTCCCTTCACTTGTATAATGATGTATTATCTATGTTCTCGTCTCAGGCACACTAAAAATCTCTTGCATTTGCCGGATGATAATTATTAGTCTTGATATATCTAGTGATTCACGGATCTACGTACTTTACCAACTTGAAATTTAATAATTCATTGCTTGACTACTTGGTCAATTGAAGCTACTATTCTAGCCAGTTCACAAGTAACTAACATACAAGGCCATGCAGTGGGGGCAGCAGTCACAAGAAAAGCCATGAGTGAACTCGGACAAGCTTTCCCAGAACAATGTATACTCCTTCTTCCTTCATGATATTTCTCTTATTGCTTCACCTTCTTACTTCAGATATTTCTCTTATTGCTTCATCTTCTTTCTAACTTAGTGTATCTTTATTTTTTCTTTTATATTCACAACAATATAACTATCTATGATAGCAATGATGGAGTAAAGTAACATTATTGTTTTAATTTAAAAAATATATATCTCTTAAAAATTAGAATCCAAATCTCCGTCTCTGGTTAATCAGAGAAAAACTTCTCAAATTTGTGACTGAATAACTAAATGATAAGCTCCCGGTACTGTTCACTTTAACGAAAAACCACATTTTTACACTAAAAAGTCAATCTTGGTACTATTTATTTTACCATTTATTTTGTCCTTATCGTTAAAACTCAAAGTTTTCAAGTTTTTTTCATTAGTTTTCCTATGTTTATATGGGGCCACCACTGTATATCCAGGTGTCAACATTACTGTTGGGTCGAGTTGAAGTGTCCCAGGGTACATACGACAATCCCTAGCACGTATGGGACCCTCTATCGATATGATTGCTTCACTTCTTGTCGTTTGAGAAATGTTTTTAAATGATTGAAGATGCTTTTAAAGAAAATATTTTTTAAATTAAATTTTAGTGAAAATGTAAGTTAATTATAGAAAAATATTTGAAGTGTTTTCTACAAGAAAAACATAATTTTTTCTTCGTGCAAGACGCACTTAATTACTTTTAGAACTTAAAAATATTTTATCTAAAAACGTTTTTAGTAATTTAAAAGCATTTTCCAAATGAACCATACATTTCGTTAATTGTACCTCTTTTATTTTTATTTTGGTCATTTGCTTGTAATAAATTGTATACTGGAAGGGTACAATGGGAATCTTAGTGCATGCAATGATGCACGTACTGTACTGGCACACTGCATTCTTTGCTACACACCCGTTGGTCCCCAATTACCAAGTATACACAAGATCAATGTCGGCATAAATAATTCAATTTTATAAGTTCACTTAAATTTTGATGATAAAATGAGATTACCAATCAGACCTTCAAGATT